TGCATATTATTTGTAAATCTTTCAATTACAGAATTTATCGGAACGTGTGTAGGGTTCGCCTCTCAGAGGGGGAGGGAGGGGAGGCGGCTTTAAAAATACTGTTTATATATATATTTTTGCTTAGACTATAAAGCCAAGCTTTACAACTTCTTTCATAGCTTTTACAACATAAATTATATGTACCAACTAATTAACCACAAACATGATATAATATATAAATTATTTTTTACCAGCATCATTCTTATTAAAATAGTAATTCAGGGCTTCCCAAAGGTTTAAAATATTATCCAGGTAAACATATTATCGGTAAATATAAGATCTACAACACATTAATTAAAGTATAGTAATGCACTTTATATAAATTAATAAAATTATTACACCACATTAAAATCAGGAATGTATACTCATTGGTCTAGGTGAGGTTAGGCAAGGATTTAATCTATAATACTGTGCTTTATATTTTTTATACATTATATCACGAAGTGATTTCAAAGTATAATCGGTATTTTAATGTGGAAAATATTAAAGTTAGGCAAGACTTTCCAATTAAAATTCATTGGTTTAATCAGCAGCATTTAATTTACCATGAATAATTTAATACGTGTGCCTCTAATTACTGAAATAATTGACAACTTTAATTATGGGGTGAACTATTTCTATTAGCAAAAAATTTGTTATGGAAAAGAACATTTACTCTTGGCTTCTATTATTTTGTAAATATAGCCTAAAGTGCCATGATCACGGTATAGCTCATCACTGGACCTTGTGAACCCTTATACGGACTCCTCACATTTCCCTGAGACAACAGAGGGCAGTTAGGTATGGTGATACACCAGCCTGCTCCATTCCTGTGTTACAACGTACAAAACCCAATGTTTTAACCTAACTAGAAACGCACGAACCTAAGCAACCCACTTAACCTACCGATCCACGCCAAGCCTGCTAATCACCACTCTTAGCAGTCATAAACTCTCTTATAAGCTGAAAAAAAGACTGCAGGCCCATATTTTATATGCGTTTGTACGATTTAATTAATGATTTAGGATATTAGTGATGTTGCTTTTCTAAAAAGTAATATATTATTTTGGTTTAAAGAAATGGCGACTAGTTATGTTGTAACGTCGTGTGCGTCAAGAGATCATGTGAATTAATTATGCCAAGACGTAGTAATATTTGTTAGCATGTAATGGCTGGACTCAAAGAGCTCAGTCAAGTTCCTTGGCCACGCTCGCCCATCCCTGCTGTCTTCTCTCTCTCGTATTAGTGAATTTTAAGGGGTGACCAAGAAAGAATTTTTTTCCCAATATGAATATTACTGTATATTATAATTTATATAATTAGGCTAGATCTTTTGGTTTTGTTGGTAATTATGTGTATTTGCAGTACCGGGTGAAGCATTTTGAGAGGTGAGATTCGTACACAGTGGACGGAGAATTGTTCGAGCGGCATCTGTTGCCAGTGGTGCGTACTGTATTTCACATTCACAAACTGCTGGATTAACGGAAAATCGGTTAATCTCTATAAAGACGAGCTGCTAATTGTAGCCCGGCCTCATGAACGTTAAATCCAATCGCCAAAACCCAGAGTTTTTAATGAAAAACACTTGACACAAGGCTCAGACCTGATGTTCGAACATTTCTTCAAGTGTTTTGCTGAGGTCTTCTGTTCGAAACGTACCTCCGTATCACAAATCCAAACAATTGCCAACCGAACCTAAATACCTAACATAACCTAATTAAGGGATAACTATGCATCAATCTAGCATACATAATGACGATTTTTTTTAATACACGGTACGTAAAAATTGTATGTAGGAATCTTTGGGGGTCGGCGCGAGGCGTTGCTGGGGGGAGGGACGACCTTGTATACATTGAACTCGATCCTCACCTTATTTCAGGGACTCCCTATCGTTTCAACCACTCAAAATCAAACTTGTTGCCGCGGCATACTTACAGAGCTGACCCTCGTGGTCAAGGTAGAGCAAGCAGCGTCTTGACGGGATCGTCTAATAGTCGAGAATTTAGGATTATGTTGATGGAGGAGCCCAGAGAGTGTGTGGAGGTCGGGGCCATGGCGTCGGCCAAGTGGGTCAGGGGAGCGCTGCTCGCTACAGGAACATGGTTGACTCGTGCCCTGTTAAACCATCAATCATCATGGGTGCTGATGATTGTTAAATACTTTGCCAACATTTGTTGACATACCTCGTATGGACCAATTGGTCTTTTGCAGTTACCTTTGTTCTTATCGTCAGGCAGCGATTGGGCATGAAAGGAGATTACTTAATATAACACATATATGTGCTATAAATCCTTAACTGTAGCCTCTGTTTAACGCAACAGTAAAATGTGTACTTGGTTGTAACAACGATTCTTCGCGGCGGGGGATCGTATTCCAGGGACCTGCCCGAAACGCTACGCGTACTAGTGACTGCACAAGAATGTAACAACTCTTGTATATATCTCAAAAAAATAAAATAAACATAAAAGGCCTAGGACTATTAGGCCTATAGAAGGCCTAGGAAGCGCTCGAGGTGTTCTTCGACTGCTCTGCCTCCGACAAGCCTATTTTCATATTAGGCTTGCAAAATCCCTACTGGGCGGACGTGCGGGATTTTGCAAGTTGCATGCAACATGCTAGTTGCATGTCTTGGGAGGACGTGATTGTTCCTGGGGCTGTTGGGCTGCCTGGCGGTAAAGGTGGCGGATGTATTATCATGTACAAGCGGCGGAAGCGGATGCTGGTCCACCAGCTGCACCACAGGGTTGCCAGATTTAAATTGCTGAAAGCAGCGAGCTGATGGTCTAAAAGTAGCGAATTTGTAATAGGAGTAGCCCAATTTTGTGTTGAGTGACTGATACGGGTTTCAAACTAATATAATTTTATATATAAAGTACAGTACACGATTGTAATTGTTTTATTAATATTATCTCTGCATATATATATTAAAAAATATGATAATAGGATAACTTACCAATATTTGCTGTGTAAAGCATAGTGGATGTGGAGTCCTGCCACGTCTTTACAGTTGAAGATTATCAAGAAGATCTTCTTGATCTGCATCCACAACCTCGTTCCTGTATATTGTAGACTCATATTTAAGCATTGACACGAGTGGTTCAAATGATGAGCAACAAGTTCCGTTTTCCTCAAGATAAGTTTTGATTCTCAAGATTGATGTCAAAAGTTCAAGTCCCATTCGATTTCTCAGTTTAGTTTTCACAGCTGTTACTCTGTGTTCAACGGGTTGAAATACCCGTTCAACCAGGGCATTACTGATGGGTAAGCAGTATATTTTCAATGCAAACTCAGCGAGGTCAATCATGTTGTTGTTGTTTAAGATTCGCTACCTGGAACAAAAAGTTCTAGGTAGCACGGGCTATGGTGAGCCCGTAGTGGACTGATTCAAGGTCAATCAGTATAGGCTCGCCAGCAGCGTTCTTGGCAGTTCTTGCTTTGGTTCAAAATGACGATCCAGATGTAGGAATTTGTCCCTCACAATTGTTGGACCAGTCAGTGGTTAACAGTAGGCGCCACTGACTTTCAATTTCACTAAGCTTAGATTGGCGAGCTAGTACTAAGTTCTGAAAATGGTGGCCGTGTGTGGCTAAGGCATATGATAGGTGACTAATTTTTCACCTTTTTGAAAGTTTCATCATTACTTAGAATACGAGAAAGAAGCTATTTGCAAACTTTTACTAAAACAATATGGCTTCTTTCTTGAATATTTTGAAACTTTTCCTGGGTTACGGGGTGAGAATAGCTTGAGCTACCTCATCCCTTTGTATGTATTTTACCTCAATAAACTTATTTCAATTTCCTGGGTTACAAAATTGTTTTGTCTGTTAATTGCCAAAAGTGTTGAAAATTCGTAACCAAAGTCAACTTTCTCCCGGGGCAGATATATGGAATTGTAGTACAAATTAACATGAAGCTTTGCATGATCAGGATAAATGATTCTTCTGAGCATTCTAAGAGTGAAGTTTTCTAAGTCAGTTTGAAGTCTTTGATCTGCTTCATCTTTTTGATAGAGTAAATTCATCCTTTCAAAATCATTTAGGATTGGTTTGAGAAATGTGAAATATGTATTATTCAGAGTACATTGAATACTCAGAGTACTTGGGATCAGAGTACATTGAAAATAATTACCTTACAACATATTTATCCACAAAAGGAAGAAGCGATTTGATAATGAGTTGTTAAAGAATCCCACTGTTCTAACAGCCACTTTACACTACCGCTCCTTGCCAACCAACCATCGTGTTCCTGACAAAGATAATAACTGGAAGGGTTCTTTCCCATCATTTATCAATCTGTACATTTTTAGATAACTTTCTCTCCTTAATGAAGATCTGTGGAACCAGCTATGGCCCCTGAGGAGGATTACCTTGCCTTGCGGTTACTTTTTCTTTCGAAGGTTCCAAGGATACTGCTTGACACAACTGGGGGTGTCAAGCAGTCATGTGACTGTCAACGTCCTCACCACACAACTGGGGGTGTCAAGCAGCGTTGGGAGCTGGTTAACCCAACCTTCCCACGTGTTTTCCAATCTTTTCCATCACTTCTGAAAAAGACTGCAATTTGGTGTCCATATTTCATCCACAGTTGTATTGTATATATATATATGGTGTGTGTGTGTTGTACAGGTGTGTGAGGATGGTGTGCAGTGTGTGTGTGTGTGTGTGTGTGTGTGTGTGTGTGTGTGTGTGTGTGTGTGTGTGTGTGTGTGTGTGTGTGTGTGTGTGTGTGTGAGAGAGAGAGAGAGAGAGAGAGAGAGAGAGAGAGAGAGAGAGAGAGAGAGAGAGAGAGAGAGAGAGAGAGAGAGAGAGAGAGAGAGAGAGAGAGAGAGAGAGAGAGAGAGAGTACCACACACTACAGGGGAGAGTAGAGAGTGAGAGGACGGTTCTCCACCAAGCTAGGTCAGTGCCTCATATTTTTAGATTCTGAAGTTCAAGCCCCCATTCCAGTACATTATAAGAGGATGTACATGTAAAAAAAATGTATTATTATCATTATTATTATTATTATTATTATTATTACAATTATTATTATTATTATCATCATCATCATCTTCAGTATTAGTAATATCCTTTTAACAGCTGAGTGTACAAAGATTAAAAACCCGTTTTATATATATATTTATATATTTTGTTTTTCTCTTTAAGGAAAATTTACAGTCACTTCTATGTTGCTGTACACTGCGCAATGTTCACTGTACAATCTTCATTGCACAATGATCGTTATTGCTTCCGCCACTGCATATGTCACTAGACGGGGCAGTCAATGCACCCACACACACACATACACACAACAATCCATTGATCAGTCACTGTAATATTGCCTCGCGGATCAGTCACTGATAATATCGTTTCACAAATCAGTCACTGATAATATCGCCTCACGGATCAGTCACGACACATATACTGCTGTTCAACCTGCAGTAGTAGCTTGTAGTCTGTGTCAGATCTGCAGCTAAGTGCTTTGCCAAGAGATAAACCGTCACTTTGTAAACTCCGATCGGTAAACTTGACTTAGTGTCAGACTTAATTAAGTTAAAGGTCCAGCTTTAAACGGTAATGTGACACTTCCAGATCAAGACAAAAAACTTGAACTTTGAACAGTATCTTGACACACACACACACACACCAGGAGCAAAAGGTTCAACTCCTGCTGAAGGCGTGACATGCGCTTGTCCCTCTTCTGTTTGTAATGGCGGGTGTCCAATGGTCTTGTGGATTTGTGGGAACTTCACAGGTCGACCTTCTTGATTCGTGGGAACTTCACACGTCGACCTTCTTGATTCGTGGGAACTTCACAGGTCGACCGTCTTGATTCGTGGGAACTTCACAGGTCGACCTTCTTGATTCGTGGGAACTTCACAGGTCGACCTTCTTGATTCGTGGGAACTTTACAGATCGACCTTCTTGATTCGTGGGAACTTCACAGGTCGACCTTCTTGATTCGTGGGAACTTCACTGGTCGACCTTCTAGATTCGTGGAGTTTTCGTGCTGACCTAATTGACTCATGAAAGTGTTAAAGTTGATATTCTTGTTTTCGGAGGCCTAGAGAACTTGCTTTCATGATAAAAGCCTTAAATGGCCCCCCTAGTTGTTTGTGAGAGTCTCAAGCTTGCTGACCCCTGCCTCTCAGAGCTCCCAGTGTGGCCTCCATGGAGAGCTTCTAAGCAGTGATTACTCGAATAGGCTGTTAGAGAGAAACAAACTGTCACAGCCTTGCATACACACACCCACACCCCCACACTTTCAAAAGTACCTTTCTCGATGGAGTGTACAAGACATCCCACAGATGCACTGCGGCCTTTATAAGGTTCACAAAACTACCTATAAACTTGAGGCTTAATATAATAGATGATTTCCAAGATTTACAGAACCCACATAACTGCCTACAAAGATAAAAAAAGAGGCCCTACAAAGCGAGTCTTTGTAGGGTCTTTGTAGAGTCTTTGTAGAGTCTTAATGCCTGTCCCTACCTGTCCTCATCACAATCGACTTGAGAATGGTCCAGGACGGATCGAAACGTCGTCGTCCCTTCAATTTCTAGTGTGTGGTCTGGTCAACAAAGCGACTTCCGTGATTGAGAAAACCGACAACGTTATTTCATGTTTTAGAGGAGCTGCAAAACGATTTTTAGACCAAAAAGTTTGAGAGCTTCTCCTTGACGAACACCTGTTCTCTGAAGGTCTGCAGGACAAACTCCAGCTTTGAGCATTTCTATTAGATGAACGATCTGCTCATTGGTGAAGGATTCCTTATTACGATCTGAAAACTTATTACGACTTGAAAGGCCAACATGATTACCAGATGTGACAGACCCTTCAATAAAACCTTCAGAGTTGAGAGGCCCTGCAAGAAAACCTCCAGGATTGAAAGGACTTAAAAGAAGACCTCCAGGCATAAAAGGCTCGCAAAAAGATCTGAAAATTTAAGTTCGTCTACTTAAAGAGACCTCCGGGCCCAAACAAAACCTACTAAACTATTTCAAGACCACGCCCAGCTTTGAAAACATTTAATAGACCAACTTCACGTTTGAGAAGACCTACAAGAATAATTGTAGTCTTGAGAGACCTTACAAAAAGGCCATCAGGCTTGATAATCAATACAAGATCACCTACATGTTTAGAAGACCCTAAAAATCCACCTCCTTGTTTGATAGATCACGAAAATCCGTCTTCCAATCCTGAAAGAACAAGATACGAGAACCCCCTTCCCCCCCCCCCCCTTCGAAGATTGAGAAACCCTAGAGCCCATTACAGACATTAGAGATCCCACTGGACTACCTTTATCCACGACAGACCCGACAAGACCACTTGAAACGTCCTACAAGAGCATCTCTAAAAGTACCTTAAGGCTTTGACCAGCTTTACACACGCCCCCCCCCCCTGCCGTGAGAGGATCCACAAATTCACCTCAAAGGTTTGATATGACTTACAAAAGCATTCTTTAGTCTTGCGAAGGCGTATAAGACCAACCGATTCCACTATTGTGAAGCCTAAGACCACCTCAAGACCTGTGAATCCTTACAAGAACACTTCAAGGCTTGTTACGTCCTACGAGCCCGAATTCTGATTTGAGGAGCTCTACCAGAACACCTCCAGTCTTAAAAGGGATTTCCAATACTACGTCCAGACTTGAGATGCCCTACAAGAACACCTCAACACTTGAGAGACCCTACAAAAGTACCTCCGGACTGTTTGAAGCCCTGCAAGAGCACGTAAGTCTAGGCTCTAAAAGAGCACCTCCAGACTTAAGAGGCGTTACATAAGCCCCCCTCAAGACTTGAGAGGAAGTATAAGAGCACCAGCAGACTAGAGAGACCCCTACAAGAGCACCAGCAGACTAGAGAGGCCCCTACAAGAGCACCTCCATCCGGTTGTGTCGTCTCATGATGCGGATCTGCCCTGGAGCCACCTCGGCCAGGCCAGCTGTCTTGAAGGTAAACAGTACGGAGTGCTGGCCGAAGTTAGCATCGAACCTGCGGGAAGAAGAAGAATGACTTCGTTAATCTCGCTAACTGCAGCTGTCAGTCTAAACCACAGTTATTACCGAACGATATCATTAAGTCCGTTATTGGTATTATATATATATATAACAGTCTTTAACGAAGAAGTACAACAATTGGTTCATTATACGGTATCTGACCCAGTCCGAGTGGTACTTATGAAGTCATAGGCTTCTCTATGGCGTCATAGTCACCTCTATGGCGTCACAGTCTCCTCTATGGCGTCACAGTCACCTCTATGGCGTCACAGTCACCTCTATGGCGTCATAGTCACCTCTATGACGTCATAGCCACATATATATGCCACTGCAGTCATATCTGACTCGGTATTTATCAGCGATGGCAGAGACTTTGACTAAATCAACAGCACATTAGTTACAGGTTACGATATGTGTGTGTTTACCTCTCTCATGTGTGTACATTTGTATGATATCATAAATGAACACAAGACCTTTGATAAGGATATTTGTGTCTCTGTGGATTTCGTTTCACAAGAGTTTCGTTCAACAGTGTGAACGCTTTTCAGAGTGAATAATTTAGAATGAACATTTTATATAGTAAATGCTTTATAGTGAACACTTTACATAGTGAATACTGTGCAAGTCATCAGTGCCAACGCTCGGACCTGGGGCGAGTGCCATCAGTGCCAATGCTCGGACCTGGGGCGAGTGGCATCAGTGCCAACGCTCGGACCTGGGGCGAGTGCCATCAGTGCCAACGCTCGGACCTGGGGCGAGTGCCATCAGAGCCAACGCTCGGACCTGGTGCGAGTGCCATCAGAGCCAACGCTCGGACCTGGGGCGAGTGCCATCAGAGCCAACGCTCGGACCTGGGGCGAGTGCCATCAGTGCCAACAGTGTAATAATAATACTCTCAGAACAACAAGCCAAGACCTGCACTCCTCGTTCTCAAACTCTCAACCCGAGGGAGCATCGAACTCACTCGGTGGATATGTTGACATCTGGCGGCTTGCCGGCGGCGTTTTGCACCACCAGAAAGAGCTTAGTGACCACCTCGATCACGTGACCCGTCTGGAGCACCAGGTCGCCCTTGCGTTTGACCTCGTCCGACCCGAAGAGGCAGCCGGGGTTGAGGTTCTGCGAGCCGGTAAGGTCAGCGGTGGGAGAGGGCGGCTTGACGTGGAGCACAGCGATGTCGTCTGGAAGAAAGAAAGGTTGAGACACTCAGATCGCGTCAGCGTGTGACGGCGGCTCTGCTAAGGTTGGTTAAGACGGAGACTTATCTAGTGGTAAAGTTCGATGCTGAGGCGCAGAGTGTAGGGAGGAGAACGTGGTTGGCAGAGGAGAACTTAGTTGAGAAAGGACGACTTACTTGGCTAAGGGGAGGCAGACTCTTTCAGCTAGAGGGAGTACGGAATTACTCAGCTAGTAAGATGAGGGACTTATTCAGCTAGTGAGGTGAGGGACTTACCCATGTAGGGAGAGAGGGAGACGAGGGGGACTTACCCACGTAGGGAGAGAGTGAGACGAGGGGACTTACCCATGTAGGGAGAGAGGGAGATGCTCTGGATCTCGAGGGCAGGGATGCGATACTTGACCTGCAGGGTCCGCTGGTCCAGCACCAGCAGGGAGTTGGTCGACACGGCCAGCAAGATCGGCACGAACTGCCAACCACAAAGCCTCGCGATAGAGCTCACATCTATACTTCCATTTATATGTACACATCAATTAACCCAGAATACAATTACCTCAAAGCCAATTATCCATTAGGGACAGTAATTATAATAACCATTTGGTCAAAAGTACAAAAATGGGCAGTTGAATCCAAAAATGTTCACCTTGTGTCATTGAATTAGATCAAATGGCACACTACACAAATGAATAAGTATAAAACTAACTTATACAAACCATTCTAGGCCTAATATACGCTATCTTAAGTCTAATATAGTGTATTTGTGTGCTATACTAGGCCTGGGAAGGTTTCAGTTTGTTGTAATACTTTTTAAACCCAGCCATTCCACAAGAGAACCATTACCACCAGAGACAAGTTCTTCATAAGCCCCCCATGCCAAGTCCTACATAAATACCCTTATCAAGCCCTACATAAGCTCCTCTACCCAAACCCTACACAAGCCGCCCTAGCCATGCCCCCACACACGCTCCCCTACCCAAGCCTTACATAAACAGCCTATAGCCAAGCCGTGCGTGCCAAGGGGGTTGTCAAGCACCCCCGGCCTGACCTTGCCAGCAGAGCGGGTGATCTTGTTGACGATGTCGGCGAAGACGACATACTGGTCGTTGGTCTCCGCCGCCAGCTTCTTCCACTGGGCGTTCTGCCGGAGTCTGACGTAGTCTCCCAGGAACGGGTGCGACACGCTGAAGGAGGGTGCGACCCGTGTCATTAGTAACGGCTTGTAGATCAAGGGTGATGATATATGGATGAGGGATTATAGAATACTCGCTGGTTGGTCAGGGAGCATTAGTGGCGGCCTTAATAACCCTACAGAAGGTGATGGGCCTTGACACCAACACCAAAACAATTGGGGATGACGTGAGAAGGAGAACCGAGAGGAAGAGAGGAAGGAAAGAGGGGCCCAGAAGGGGCAGAACTTGGGTAGATGGCGAGAAATAGGAGGTGAGTAGGGCACATTTTAAGAGTGAAGAAGGGCGGGTCGGGTCCACCACTGCCCCCAGAAACATTATTAATTTAATATTAGTCTGGTTGCAATCCAAGATTTGCACTTGTAGGCTAAACAAATTAAAAAACAGAGCACTCAGGTGATTGTACAGCTTTCCGAAAGATTTTTAAGACTATTGGTACTTAATTCTTGCTCTTCGGATACCGATTTTATGTGGCCAGGATTATACTGATACTGAGCCTGAAGGAGGAAGGAGGGAAGGAGGTTCAAGGAGGGGGAAGAAGGGGAAGGACTTGAAGAAGGGGAAGGTGGAGGATGACCTGTACCTCTTGGAGTAGGAGGCTTTCCTGTCCTTGAAGATGATGGAAGCGGTCACTTTCTCCCTCATCCTGTTCCTTGCTGTCTGGTCGAACTGCAGCCGGTAACGGTGGCACTGTAGGAGATATATGGGGTCAGTGCCAGACACAGTATGGGGTCAGTCACCAAATTATCTCTCATTAGCTCACCCCCACCTACACCTCCCCACCAACACACCCCACCAACACACACACCCCTCCCACCCTCCCACCAACACACCCCCACCAACACACTTACCCTCCACTTGTGGTGGAGACGTCGCAGGAGGGAGCTGACCTCCACCAGAGATGGGGAGGCCGGAGGCCAGCACGTGGACACCGGGGACTCGTTGGGCATCTCCGCCAACACCACCATCAGGAACCTCCAACGCTGAGGGAGAGGCAGCCACACGTTAATGGCTAGACATGATAAAGGGATGGAGGGGGGGGGGGGTAGAAATAGCCTAAGCTACTCTATCCCTTTGAGATGTATTTTTTCTTGTCTCAATGAACATACTTGAACTTGAACTTAGACATGGTGATATACCGCGAATGTTGGCGATGGTGAGAGTGGTGATATAATGTTGGCGATGGTGAGACCATGTGTGATGGTACAGGTACTCCTGGTCAATATGGTGACCGGTGAGTTACTGGTCAATATGGTGACTCTAATGAGGTTAGTGTGGTCAATTGTGGCGTTATTGATGGTGATGGTGATGATGGTGATGGTGGTGATGATGATGGTGATGATGGTGATGATAGTGGTGATGGTGATGGTGATGGTGGTGATGGTGACCGTATTGGCTTTGGTACTCGTCTTCATGTACCCCCCCTACTTGTACTTTCCTATATGCACTCTCCTTTATGTACTAACTTAGATGTTCTCATATATATGTACTCTCTTTTATGTACTAACCTAGATGTACTTATATATATGTACTCTCCTATATGTACTAACCTAGATGTACTCAATACTCTCCTATATGTACTAACCTAGATGTACTCATTTACATGTACCCATCTAGATGTACTAGCCTAGATGCACTAGCCTAAATGTACTCACCTAGATGCATACACCTAATGTACTCACCTGGATGTACTCACCTAGATGAGCTTGCAGGCTCCAGCTCCGGGTTCCGCCTACCGAACATCTTGAACTTCAAC